TTTACACGTTTTTTGTGGACTATTATGGACCTTTCTGACTCGGGCACAATAGAGCTCCATTATTTGAATGTCAGCAGACAGCAAGAAGCCTCCCAGATCTCCAGATGCATTTGAGATATCAAAAAAGTACTCCAGAGTGTTGTTCAATATGGGGGTGAGTAGAAAATGAAGGCTAATCATGTTTTGGGTGTACTATTCCTTTAAGTAGTTAGTAATGATAATTGTCAGATTCAAAATGGGGTTTTCTTATAGTCCTCTACTGTGACTGAATGTTTGGTAGATTGGGATGGTTGGTTTATCCATGATGAACGGTCACATTTAGGAGGCCTCCAGGTGGGAGTGAGAGTAGAAGAATTTGGCCTGATTAGATTTATAGGCTTAGGTTACCTAGTCTAAGGTAAGTTACAATAATGTGCGCATAGGAAACTAAAATGGCCTTCCTTTAATTAGATGAAAACCAAATTGTAGTTAAATGCGGAAACTGTGGTAATGAGTGACAACGTTTGTTCAGAAAGTAGATCAGACAGCTGATCCAGACGCTGCTGCCTGCGTCCTCACTAGAACTATAGAAAGTAGATCAGACAGTTTCCTGGACGGAAAGAGAAACATCTTCAATCTCGGAAACAAAGTCCAGGGGATTGTTTTTGAACTTTTTGGAAGGAGTTTTTTCATACTTTTTCAGCATATTTGTGTTGTTCTTAAGAAAGAAAAGAGAAAACACAGTGTTCAAATGCCTTTTGTTTTATTTATCTATGCAATTCAAAAGCGGAAGCTAACAGAGCAACTCAAATAAGAGCTGTAATATTGTATACGGAGAAAAGCTTTGTGTAATAAGTTTAGAAACTAAATTAATTCTTCTGCAAAATCTCATTGATCCATCCGATATATTTGGAAACATCTGTGTAGACATTGGGTGCGTATGGTGCACGGCAGCCCTTTGCTCCATATGATACAACACCCATACCTACACCGTTGCAGATCAGAGGGCCTCCAGAATCACCCTGTGAAGATAAAGACATTTACTGAGTTTATTGGACTTTCACCACATGAGATCTAACATCCTCAAAATGAAGAAAACATACATCACAATCGCCTTTTATGTGACCGTTTCCACTTGCGCAGATCACATTAGGAGGAAGTCTGAAATTCCATCTCCACTGGCAGACACGTTGAGATACAACAGAGAGTTTCACCGATCTCAGAACGTCCACAATAGTGTTGTCCTCAGTTAAACCCCATCCAGCCACAGTGCAGATCTGATCAAATCTAAGTTTTGTACCAGCCTTTGGAAGTGGGATGGTTTGGACGTGCTTGCCCTTTGAAGAAGCTTTCGCAGACAACTTGAAAGACACCAGAACAAAAAGAGTGTTAACGTTTACCTTGATTGTATTCCTAGACCAGGCATTAAGAGGTTAAAATAACAGGGCTTTCTGCTCTGCTTCCTGCAGCAACAGCAGAATTCACACAAGTTTACAAATACACAGAAAATATCATGAACACCTTACTTGAGATTTCCACTTACTTTGAGGATCATGATGTCTTTCCCACGGAAAGCAGACGTATAATTTGGGTGCATGAACTTCTGTTTAATGCGAACCCTTATCACGTCTCGACTCTTGAGATTCTGGCTCCCCAGTAGAACCGAATCAGGACGGCTGCATTGATTGATGTTTGATATCATTTTAAGCACGACAGACAGACAGACAGACAGTAGAATAATCCAAACTCACCCTGCTTCACAGTGTGCAGCTGTGATTACAATGTCCTCTCTGATCAGGGATCCTCCACAAATATGGCGGTTGCGGCTTTGCACTGAGACCATGTACAGCATCGTGTTTTTGGGAACTATTTGCCCATTTATGATTTTGCTCCCATGAACTAAAATAATCAATTGAAATGAAAGATCAGCTACACCATTAGTCGGTCAGAGAGAAAATAACAGATATTTTCTTACCACTTTGTCCAAGGGATATCACAAGGTGGAAAAGCAGCAATGCACCAAGAGCATGCATGTTGCCAGCACTTCAAGGATGTACTCTAGAGAGCCACAGGCTGAGGTTTTTATACTGTTTTAATGAGTCAACACCTACACTAATATGCAAAAATATGACGCAAAGTGACCACAAAGAAAGCAACGCTACAAGGCTGCAGACGCTGAAAACTTTCATATTGAAAAGATCCTGCAGGTAAAATATTACACAGACATTTCCTATGTGCCTATTGGAACAGACAAAAAAACTGGAACTATGAGACAGAAATAGTTGATAAAGTTGATTATATCTAGTCCTTCAGTGTTTGTGGCAAGTTGGCCCAAATTGTGGTGATTGTAATTTCTGCTGCCATTATATGACTGAACTTCAGTGGCACTTAGCCAGTTACCAAAAACATCAGCAAGCTTCTCTTTATTTTCTATAAGTTAAATCCAGAATATAATTCAAAATCCTGCTGTAGTATGGAACCAACTACCAGTTTTAGTCCGTGAGGCAGACACTGTCATGATGGGTATCAGAGTATGTATACAAACACAAAAATATTCAAAAAGTCTCTGAGGACAACATTGACGAGCGCTTGGAAACATGCAGGAGCGTTTGTGAGACCAAAAGGCATAACCAGATACTCAAACTGGCCCAAAGGGGTCTTAAAGGCTGTCTTCCATTCATCACCCTCTCTTATCCTGAGAAGGTGATATGCGTTTCTTAAGTCGAGCTTGGTGAAGACAGTAGCCCCTTGAACTGGTTCAAAGGCTGATGCTAGTAACGGAAGTGGGTATTTATTTTTGATAGTTATTTGGTTTAGGCCTCTGTAGCCTATACAAGGTCTTAAGGAACCATCTTTCTTGCCCACAAAAAAGAAACCAGCACCCAGAGGAGAAGAAGATGGACGGATTATTCCAGCAGCTAGGGACTCATTTATGTATTTCTCCATGGTTTCACGTTCAGGCTTGGAAAATTTATAAAGTCTACTGCTGGGCAGGGGAGCTCCAGTTAATAGCTCAATAGCACAGTCATATGGTCTGTGAGGTGGAAGAGACGTAGCACTGACCTTACTGAAGACAGGAGCCAGATCATGATACTCGGAAGGGACAGAAGTAAGGTCAGGAGAGTCCATCTCCCCCCTACCTCTAGGAGACTGCACAGCGGGAGCTGCAGAACGAAGGCATGTTTCATGACAGGAGGTCGACCACGACTCAATGTGGCATTCAGCCCAGTTGATATGGGTGTTATGTCGTTCCAGCCACTCAAAACCAAGCACCAAGGGAGAACATGCAGAAGGAAAAACAAAAAAGGTTAACATCTCACGATGATTTCCAGAGATCAACAGCTCTAGAGGTTGTGTTTGATGGGTAACTTGATGGAATCTCTTTCCATCAATAGCAGAGACACTGAGAGGCTTAGCTAAGGGGGTCGTTTCAATCTGTAGCTGCAGAGCCAGGTTAGAATCTATAAGATTACGCTCACAACCAGAGTCAATAAAGGCAGACAAGGTGAGATTTTGGTTAGAGAAAAACAGAGTGGCTGGTAGCATCAAATGAGGAGACTTTTCAGTTTTCAGATGGCCCGTCAGAGGAACTGAGGAGTCTGACGGGCCCCGGCTTTTGACTTAGCAGGGCATGAGGCAATGAAATGGCCAGTCTCACCACAGTATATACACAATTTGCCCCTGAAACATCGTAGTCTTTCCTCAGGGGTTAACCTTGTGTGTCCAACCTGCATGGGTTCGGCTTCTATCCCATCAGAATGAGAGACCTGGACAGGCATAGATAGAGTCTGGGTTTTAGGCCTTGGCTTGGAAACGGGTTCTGTAAATCCAGAAAAAAACAGAAGCATTATTTAATGCAGGGGTTGACACAGAAAAATTTAGACTCTTATGTCTTGAGTTATTTCTAGCACAAAGTCTGTTGTCCAACCTAATAGTTAGGCGGATTAAATCCTCCAAACTAGCAGGTTCGTCGAGAGTAGCTAGTTCATCCTTGATATTGTCATTCAATGCCTTAAAATATGCACCTTTGAGAGCACATTCGTTCCAGCTGCGGCTTTGACCCGGAAATTGATGGAAAAATCCGCTACTGAGGTATTTACCTGCTTTAAATTCAGCAGAGCTCGTGAGTCAATAGTTTGATCAGAATCCTGATTAAATACTTGGGAGAATTCTGAAACAAACTCAGAAAAAGTTCGTCTGAAACTGGTCTCAGAGGTGAATCTAGCCTCCGCCCACTCGAGGGCTCGCCCAGTGAGTTGAGACAAAATAAAAGTTATCTTTTTCTTATCCGTAGGGAAACTGCCAGGAGAGTTCTCAAAAATTAGACAACTTTGAAACAAAAATCCCTTACAGTCTTTCTGGTTACCTGAGAACTTTTCAGGGAAGACTAGGACGGAACTCAGGAGATGACGTCACTACTGGTGACCTTAGAGGCGGAAGTGGATCCGGAACTGGACGTGCCGCCGACGCGGCGTTAGCACTGCTCACATAGCTAGCAAATGTTTGAAGCATATGGTTTTGATAATCGATCATGGTATGTAACTCACGGAGGGTTTGTGATTGTCCATGGATCTGAGCGTCTTGCTCCTCAAGCCTACGACGGAGGTGATCTGCTGGGCTTTGTGTTTGGCCACAGTGTTCTGTCATGATGGGTATCAGAGCTAGCCCAAGATGCAGAACACACACGGAGGCTGGATAAAAAGTTTAACAGTTTATTGTTTCACAAGCACATGAATATTGCACAGGAACTGGAACTGGTCAGGGGGCAGGTTCACTGGAGTCTGCAGAGATGATAGTTCAGTTAGCAAACGAGCTGATGAGTTATGAGTCTTTGATGTTTCAGAAGAATACCTTGAAGGAGTCCGGGTTTCACTTTGAGAGAGAGAACTGTTGGGTCCAGAGACTGTTTGTTCGGCAAAGTCCAATAATTGCTTCAGTGTCTTGCTTCTGACTTTGAGGGCAGACCTTGATCTGAGTTTCCAGCTCTTAGCCAAGAGCTGCAGGGGAATCCACAGAGGAGTCTTCAGGTTTGGCTCACAAGGGCAATCACGGCAGGTTAAGCTCATCCAGAGCCTCAGGTAGAGACAGGATTCCTGTGAGGCAAAAACAAGGAAGAATTAGAATCTGATCTCATCAAGAGATAGCAAAGATTCTCAGGTTTCAAGGCTCAGGTCGCTAACCAAACTAGGTCAACACTGCAGCGTCGAAGCAAGGTCTGGAAGCAGGTTATATAGGGCTGGACTTCTGATGAGGAGATGCGCCTCAGGTGTGTTGGAAGGTTCCAGCTCTGGAGGACCCACAGCGCACTCTGCTGGAGGAAGGTGGTACAGCTCCAGATCCCAACAGACAACCTGTCTACTTTTAAGGCTAAGCTTAAAACTTTCCTTTTTGATAAAGCTTCTAGTTAGAGTGGCTCAGGTTATCCTGAGCTATCTCTATAGTTGTGCTGCTATAGGCCTAGACTGCTGGAGGACATAGGGACCCCTTTTTCATCATTCTGCTTCATTCTATCTCTATTCTCCCACTCTGCAGAATCTGTTAGTTCAATCTCTAACGTTCTGCTCTCTCTGCTTTTTCTCATAGTAGTAGCTCTCTTCATCCTCTGGCATGGGAGCTGGCTCGGAGCTCGTCTGCCTGGCTGTGTGTTTCCTGGACGGGGCCGCCTGTGGAGCTGGTTGACAGTTGCCTTTTGTATCTATGCTTCTTTTTCTATGGCTGCTTCTGTCTCCTTGAACCCCAGTGGGCCTCAGCAGATGGCCGTTCACACTGAGCCTGGTTCTGCTGGAGGTTTCTTCCTGTTCAAAGGGAGTTTTTCCTCTCCACTGTCGCTACAAGCATGCTTAGTGTGAGGGATTGCTAAAGAGTCGAGTTGATGCAATCAGCTGGTTTTCCTTAGATAGAACATTTTGAATCAATCTGACTGGATGATCTGGTTGAATTGTCTCTATAATGTCACCTGAGATGACATGATGTAAACTGGAGCTATAGAAATAAACTGAATAGAAATACATTTTCTTTTTTAAATCCTACTTAAAGACAGGGAATTCTATATGTCAGCAGGGACTTTTAAATCAGAGACCAGAAAAATCACATGTGGGGTTCCTCAAGGCTCCATTCTGGGGTCCCTCCTACTCAACATCTACACGATCTCTTTACCTTCACTATGCAGACGACACTCAGCTTTACATCCCAATGGCAGCAGGTGACTATGAGCCCATCAGAGCGTTGGTTACATGCTCACAACAGATCAGTCAGATTCCAGATTTCAGAAACCCACAAAGCTGAGGTAGAATTGATTCCTTCCCGTTATCATCGCAGCCCAAACCCCTTCACAGGTGACCAAAACATCTCGCCTATTCAGCCAGGCCAACACTTCCCTTTAACAACCCACCTTTCAGAGACAGAGACAGGTATGGGGCATTGCAGGCTAACAAACAAGCCAAACCACCCCCACTCCAAAGGGGTGGACCCATTTGTCTGTTTCTATTTGCATGTTTTCTAAACAGAAACAAGGCTTTAAAGCAGGGGTGTCAAACTGGTTCCAGAAAGGGCCGTGTGCCTGCATGTTTCCTTTCAAGCTAAGCAATAGCCCACCAGACTCCAGCCATCTAATCAAGTGAGTCCAATCTGAACATGATGACTTGATGATAATGGAGTCTGGTGTGCTATGGTTTGGTCGGAAAGAAAACCTGTAGCGACCGACCCTTTCAGGACCCAGTTTGACACCCCTACTATAAAGCCTCGGCCTCAGCTCGATTTTGAATTGAAAAATCTTCCTGGATGGGAAGAGAAACGTCTTTAAGCTTGGAAGCAATGTCCAGTGGATTGTTTTTGAACTTTTTGGGAAAAACATGGAGAAGCAGCATCTATGCTCCACTGATCTGGAACAAACTCCCAAAAGACTGGAAAAGAGCTGAAAGCCTGAGTTCTTTGAAGTCAGAGTTAAAAACCTGTTAGTTTAGAGCTGCCTTTGACTGATGGAGTCAAACTATTAAATGAGGGATTATTAATTTATGGTCCGATCCAACTGATTGATTTGCTTTACTACCTGAT